CCTCCACAAGTCGCCATGGTCCATCCCGAGACAGCAACGACGTGCGCTTGTGGCTGACTCCACCCTGCCAAAGTTTCGCGCTGATCCCTGTGTGGCCTTGCGGTGCGGCGTGGACGTCAACGTTCGACCAACACTCTTTCAGTCGAGCACACACACTCCTTTCAACTCCGTTTACCTAGTGCCGTTCGTGCCCATCCCAGCCATCTCTGACGGATGAACCTGGATGCCTAGTTTTCGACTGTGCCGCACTCTTTGGCCGAATTACAAGCTATCCCTGTCGACGTTGACGGAATGACAGACATTCGCACCCCAGGCTTGGGCGTGGTTCATCCCCACTCCTCCGCCATATTGACAATCTCTCCTTCTCCGATCCCGCGTCGTCCACCTACGGATACCAGCTGCATACAGCCCATGACCATGGAAATCCGTCAGCTTAGAAGTCTCTAAGCCCTCTTGACGTCAAAACGTACAGCACAATACGCACATCCTCCCACCGCTGGTCCTCTATTACCCCAGCTTGCCTTGCTCCGGCTCTCGTATCGGAGCCTCATCGGGTCTCTTCCTTCCTGCCCCGCCAAGATCATCAAGGCGCCCCAGGGCTGAACGGTCCAGGGCCTTGAAGCAAGTGCTCTGATGGGAGAGGGGAATCAGACCGTCATCGTCCCGTTCCCTCAAAGTTCTAGGTGCGATTGGGTAAGGCAATCTATCCGCCCCTCCGTGACCAGGCTGTGTATGGTTCTCTAACCGGAGACACCTTAGAGTCTATTCTGGGAGGGGCACAACCCGACCCACGAAGGTCTTGGCTCTGGGTCCCTTCATGAACTCAGACTGAACTGTTCATGGTTCCTCATGCAGGTTTTCTCCTTTGCGTCCCATCTTGTTATAAGTTGATCCATTCTCCCCTTCTTGTTTCCGAACTTTTTGCATCTTTATCCTGCAAGCCACTCACTTCTCTAGCACCCATCACGTCTGAGCTTTACCCCAGACTGTAATTCTCTGAATTCAACACAAACATCCATTTTCACAATGCAGATCACTTCCTCTCTCCTGAGCGCTGCGGCTGTCGCCGTCCTCGCCGGTACCGCAAACGCGACGTACGTCCCATAATTTCCCCTGCCCAACTGTCCAACTTACACATGAGACTGACATCCTCCCAGCCCGGTCACCCGCCGCGCCGCTGCGGGACAGGTCGTCTCCCAGTGCACTCAGCCCGGTCTCGTCGCGCTCACCTTCGACGACGGCCCGTTCCAGTTCACCCCCCAGCTTCTCGACATCCTGAAGCAGAACGACGTCAAGGCGACCTTCTTCGTCAACGCCAACAACTTTGGCAACATCGAGACGGCGCCCAACCCCGACACCATCCGCCGCATGCGCGCCGAGGGCCACCAGGTCGGCTCGCACACCGGCACCCACCCGGACCTCCAGACCATCTCGACCGCCGAGCGCCAGGCCCAGATGGTGCAGGTCGAGGAGGCCACCCGCCGCATCGACGGCTTCGCGCCGCGCTACATGCGCGCGCCCTACCTCTCCTGCCAGGCCGACTGCCAGGCCGACCTCGGCGCCCTCGGCTACGTGATCGTCGACACCAACCTCGACAGCAAGGACTACGAGAACAACACCCCCGAGACCACCCACCTCAGCGCCGAGAAGTTCAACAACGAGCTCAGTGCCGACGTTGGTGCCAACTCGTACATTGTTCTCTCCCACGACGTTCATGAGCAGACCGTCGTTTCGCTCGTGCAGAAGATGATCGACACCCTGAAGGGCAAGGGGTACCGCGCCGTCACGGTCGGCGAGTGCCTTGGCGATGCTCCCGAGAACTGGTACAAGGCCTAGATGAGAGGCGACCTTTTCTTGCTTATGATACCCTTGCGGCTCTCGGGAACACACGAGGTTTTCGGGAGGGGCATAGAAGGGAAAAGTTTGATTCCACGAGCGCATTTTGATTTCTCCTTTTCTTTCTGGCTTGTACATACCCATAGACGTATACCACAGTCACATCAGGTCATGGGTGGGCATGGAGCGGCGCCAGGAAACAACGTAAATATTACCTCTTCGTCAGAGATACCATATATATAGTACAGTAATTAGAGGAGAAGCCACGTACTTTCAGCTATTTCTCGGTCTCAACCCCTTCGTGATTTTCGTGCTCCTTTCTGAGTGAGATTGATAGGTGGCATGTGAACTGGCATCGCACCGCACAACATCGCGGTCAACTCTTGGTAAGTAAGACACAAGTTTTCATCTACGTGAAGTTGGCCAGTGAGGTGATGAAGTGCCCATCCTGGTCTGGACCACGCCGTGCCTGAACTCAAATGGTCCTCGACAGAACTCTAAATATTCTCTTTGTTTTTCTTCAGCACGTCTTCAACGGTGCTCACGGATTACATAAACAGAACCAGACAACACAAAGGCTTGTCCTTATATGTCTCGAACTTTGTTTCTTTTTATTTATTTCATTACTTCATTTTTCTTTTCGGGGTCTTGTGTGACTGCCCTACGAGGACGGGGACTAACGCGCCATGGCACTTGGCTTTTGGGGGAGTGCATATCAATACTTGGCGAAGCATTTCTATCCGCCTACTTGTCTCGCAACGCATGGGCGTTTGCTCCTCCCGCCGACGCAGATCTGCAGGAACCTGGGATCTAAGTTGTGCACGTGTTTGTGCGAGACCTGAGGGTGCCTGGAGCTAGAGCGGTGCTCGGCCTTGAGGACTCCGTGTCTCTTAAGTAATACGTATGGACAGTACCTCTGCAGTCACCTCTTGGGTTGTTACCATTCGGGTTGCTTGGTCCCTTTGGGCTTTCAAAGTTGTACCTTGCTGCATTAGTAACCCTCAGCTCAGCCTTGGGCGCTGGTTTGGGGAAGGGTGTCTAAAATAAGGTGCTGCGCCAAGATTCAGACTTGCTCATTCCTTCTGCAATCCTTTCGGACTTCCTTGCGCGCGCGGACGCGGACTTTATCGGATCGGGCGCGCGGGGCGGAGTAAATGGGCACTAAGGCGGATGTAAGCGCTTGGACGATCGGGGACGGGGCCGAGTGGGGCCGGGGTTTTGCCCGATTGCTGTGGTCTGCTTCGGCGGGCATGTTGGTTTGCTCGTTGGCCCATGAGGGGAGGAATCATCAATTTTCCTGTCGGATTACCTGGGGGTCTCGTCGGCATTGCGTCGATTTGGTGGCGAGGGGATTTTGAGGTCTGCAGGTTGTGTTTTGGCAGGTCTATCATCAGCAATGACTGCGCGAGCATCCTCAGGAATAAAAATACAGAGAATCATCGTGATCGGGATTGGCATGGAAAAATAGGCCTCTTTCAACTCACCGGAATCGGCTTTCAGTCCCTTTGGACGTCGTTTTGTAGCCCAGAAGCCAGGCCGTCAGCTTAGGTTGGTTCGCAGCCCAGGTGCCTGTAGAGACTTTGAAGTCTCGGCGAGACCGCTCCCGGTTTCGATCTACATGTTTACTCATATCATATCTGATGCTTCCTAGTCATTGATTTCTTAGCTCTGTTCGCCTCTCGTGTAGTGGCATCGAAGTATGACAATGCCTGCAACGTCTTACCAAGGTAAACGGACCCGCAGTAGAGGCCAATAGAGAGCTGCCTTGTTGCGACAGCGACGATGAAGGAGCGGCATTTCTTATCTCTATCATTGGAGGCATTGATGGCATTGCGTAACACGGATCGCTTTGGGCCGGACACCAGCGCGTGCGCGATAACATGCCAACCAAGGGCTCCTAAGGGCCCCTGGGCTCACATGGCTCACCCAAGACCGTTGAATGAAATCCGTAAGGTTAGATAACAATCAGGAGACCACAAGTGGCCGTCAAGCTTCAATTCTTCCTGTTATAATAAATGCTGACGACGGTATCCCTGAGGCCAGAACTGAGGAAGGTATCCTCTGCGACCAATTACCACGACGGTATTCCCGAGTGCTCATGCGATCCACCTCAACGTTGGATTTGAAGCAGATAGCATCAACTCAAATGAACATAGGTAGCATGGTTTGCTTTGCTGATGTCGTGGGCAGAGATCTTGTCTGTCGGGGCAGGTGAGGCTGTTACAAAACTTATCGTGTGACTCTTCGGATGTGCCATAGCCACACCTTCCATATGAGAGTCGGAGACATAACCGAACCCTACTCTGAGAAGCATGAGTACTTACTGGATTGTTAAGCCGCTCGGTCGGAAGGCATAGAGCACAATCCCGAGGCAAGAGGTAGAAAGCAAGGGCAAGAGTAAAGGGAAATAAGCCAGGAGAATGAGGAGTTTAATCCGCTTCGGCATCGGGGGCTAAACGGAGAACCTCTAAACAGGGTGACGTATAATTTTACGGGCTTGTAGCAGCCGGTGAAACTCTCTTTCGGCGGAGTGGTGTTTATCTGATGTATCAAGTAAGTTGTATACATGATGCTCAATACCCTGGTTTACCAACAACGTACCTACCTACGTTCCGGGCAGTTCCGACTCACAAGCCGCGACGACATCGATGGATCTGGATAATTTTCGCTAGATAGCACACACACCAGCCCATCAAGATGAGAGAGCCATATCATTTGCAAAATCTGTGTATTCGCTCGCTGTGCTACCGACGGTAACACTCGTTATCAACAACATCGCTCCACGCTTGGGTGAGCAAGGTTCTAGTGGTATCAGGTATTAAATAAACACGAACTGCCTCTTGCCATATAGTATCCCTCTGTCAATCAATCTCGACTGATATCTTCTGCTCCAATGGTCTAGGGCGTTGACCACTAGGCCTCTCGTGCTGTGCCGCGGCCTTCCAACTTCAAGAGGCGCTACTGTTTGATCCTCCGTGGGCTGTCTCTCCTCTTTGACGCGGTCAATGACAAGTCATGTGACGTCTCCATTTGCTGATGACCTTCCCTGACACCCTCCGACGTTCGTCTCTCGTGTCGGCAATGGCCTGTTTGCGGCCAATTCGATGCTGCATAGTACTTGCAGTCGTTGGATTCCTTTCCATATCACAATCGGAACCCAGCCATCATGCCTCTTCTTTCATCTTCAACATGCTTCTTGTGCTGTCGTTGCCCCTTGAGCTGCCAGAACAAGGCTCCTCCTTGAACTCGATTCGACTCTTCGGTGTTTTCGGTGTGCTTGGTGTATCTGGCTCTGACGGGAGGTCGTTGAGGTCGATGTTCCTGAAGTCTCCGACCAAATGGGCTATTGATGCTTCCTCGTAGGACACAACTCGTGCTCGCTCGGGGGGACTGGATATGGTTCTGGAGGCTTGGGACTCGCTGTTAGATCCCTTTGCTGAGCGTCCAGTCCTCGAGAGTTGTGTTACTATCTTGGGGAAGAGGATTCGCCAGACTTGGCGAGTACTCGGTAAACAGGCAACAAAGATGCCCACACATAGTTCAATGTGTGACCAAAGCGAGCTTTGGAAGGAGTCGGCTGTGTTGTGTTAGTGCAATTCTCACATTGTGGGTAACTATGGCTTACCTGTGACGTTGTAGGACGTCGAGAAGATCAATAATGCCTTGACCCTATACGCACTGACTGCTGTGAGGCTGCTTATGGTCAGCACCAAGATCGTTGTGTCCAGGTTAGGTCAACTCACAATACTCCAACGCTGAACATGAGCATCACTCCAAGTTTGCGCATGAGCGGCATCCTCAGATCATAGACCTGGGTTGCCGGAAGAACGAGCATCCAGACGTCCAAGGCAACGTTGAGAGCGCCGTGGCACATTGCAAAGGCGTTCAGGTTGATGCATTGGCCCTTCATCTCCCCAGTCCATCCATCCCAAAAGTAGTGAATAGGTTGGCACGACCCAACAGTGCCTCCAACGAACGCGATGAGGAGGAGCAGGTTGAACATTTGCGTGCACCAGAGGACTCGTCGGAACTTTTCGTCCGGGAAGATGCGTAAATAGAGAAAGAGAATCGATGCCTTGACGAAGGCAAGAGCAGTCAGGTAGAGCATCCCAAAGACATAGAAGAGCTGGGAGGTGTCAGTTCATCATCCTAGAAGTGTTTAGGTGCTTCATCTATGAACTCACCACCAAGAAGTACGTGATTTGCTCGGGAGTAAGGCTCCAAATGTCTCGTCCAGCGCCTGTCTCCTCAGCTAGGAAATGTAAGCAAAGGTGAACAATAGAACGAAGATTTTGGGTTCCTTACCAAGATAGGCTGCGGGTAAGAAGGCTGCTAGAACACCCTAGGTGAACGTCAGCACACGTCATTATCATGTCAGGGAGCATTGTCATACATATGCGACGAGACAGGTCGTGTCGTCCCAGCCCCACGGCGACAGCTTCATGTACTTATTCGTGATCCGTACGATGATGAAGAACGTTGGAAGGCCGAAGAGAAGAGCTCTGAACCACTGCATAACAGTGTCTTGTTGGGCCGGAGGCACGCCACAAGCCGCGAGCGACTGGTTCTGGGCGACTGCAAAACGATTAATATGCTACCTTCATGATACCGTTACGAGGTTGGAGTTCTCACCCAGCATCTCTTTAACTGTGCAGTTTGCCATCACGCAAGTCTGCACATACCCAGCGAGAACCTTGTCGTTACACATGCATGTCTGATTCGTGAGGGCACATGTCGAGTGCCCTGCCCCGATCTCTTGAAGAATGCAGGATATCTAGATCCCGTCAGCAACCGCAAACCCAAATATGCCTATCGTTCATCCTTACCGCGCATGGAGGGATTCCGTTGTATGACAGGTCGGCGGCAGCGACGTAGCTGCTCAGGCCGAGAAAACAGGCCAGCAGGACGAGAAACCGAAAGGCGGCCATGTTGTGTTCGTATCCCCTTCCTCAACCCCCACAATACCAGTCGTCGTCGTTGTCGTCGAGAGCGTTTGTCGATGGAAAACTGTGTCCGCAAGGGTTCGACAAGCAGGAGCCAACGTCAAGGTAAACCTCGGGAAGCAGTCTTGGCCATGGTGCCAACAAGACCTACAGATATTCGAGGAAAGGGAAGAAGGCAAGGACCAGCATTTAGCGGGACAATCTTTCCCCAGAAAGCACGTACTGACGGCTGTCAATTTGCCCAGCTAACTTAGCGGACTAGCCTAGGCCCTGGATTCAAAAGCTGTGCACTGGTTTGTGGCTTTCTTACTTCGGTCCCCCCTCTCTCTTTCTCAAGGACACACAACACTGCATTTCACCGGCCGCTGTAGCCGGGCGGACCGGACACGCGAGCGCTCAATGATCGCCTCCGCGGTATTTGGCCCGGCTTGCCTGAGTTCCTTTGCGTTTGCGGAGGGGGTGTTGGCTAATTTCACACTTTACCCTTTCATGTCGGACCAGTTCCTTCCTCACTGGTCGCTCCCCCTGCCCTCGCGTAGCCGAAGCACGCCGCGGCTGAGACCATGAAGAAGTCTACTAGGTACAGGTGCTTTTGGCAGACGAGATGGGAAGATGGCGTCTGATGTGTGGCCCCATAACAAGCTAGTACTCGAGCTAAAGCAGAAGCTTTGGCACTCGGAGTCCCACATTGGCGTGGCGAACATGGACCTAAAGTGAGACTAGCTGCGGGCTGTGCGCGCCCAACGCAGGGGCATCGTGACGTTTGCGGAATGTTGAGAGTATCTCCTCAAGAGGAATGCCGTTCGCGTGCATCCAGGCGCCTTGGCATGTGAACGGAAGCATTAGACCTGTAGATATCCAGGGTCGGCAATTTCTCAATGGAGCCTTTCTCGAGGTTTGTAGCGATCAGTCATTGGAGTTTGAGAACAATGGAAAGGCCGGCATGGCAAGCTCTTTTGCTGACAAGCACTTCAGATGCCTCCCCATGATCTTCAGAGCTTGATCCAAACAGTGGAAGTTCGCCAGCACGCCTCGTGGTTGCGGGGCGTCACCACGGAATGGCGAGCTAGGAAAAGAATGCAAGAGGGGTCCTGTCTCATTGTTGTTACCAGCTTTCTGGTCCTTGGCCTCCAGCCTCATTGAGACGGGCAAATTGGACCGCGAAGACCCCGAGAAGAAAACGAAGAACCGTTTGCCGGTGAACACTGGAATTCGGACGATGCAAGCCCAATAAGTGCCGTAGACACATGGCTTAGCTTGATGAAGACACCAAAGTAGTATGCTGTTTCGCCGTTTAAGGCTGGTCTTCCGAAAACTCGTTTAAGCGAGCTGTCGATGCGGTTCCAGATTCCTGGGTTCGTGCCATCTCAAGATGATCAGGCGCTGACAAACTTTGAACAAGGTAGGGCAAGCTTTTGAGAAGGCGGCAGCCGTGACTCTCTAATTCTGCGCAGCCACTGATTCATCAAAGAATGCCAATGGCACCGCCTTGCGCTTCTCCACGCATCATAAGTACGCCACTTTGTCTTCGGTTCCTTTATCGCTGGTTGATCTGAGCGTCAACGTCTTCTGCCTCCCGAGAGACACATCGACAATGAGGCGGAGGATCCTGCCCCGATGCTGAATGTTGGCATTTCGCAAAAAAATCATTGACAAAGAAAGTCGATGGTAATCGAGAAGAATATGCCAGTCACAAGTCGATGCTGCGCAATCATTCTCATGCCGGGTCTTGCAAGGTGCATCGAAGGCAGTTTCGATTGTGGCTTGAGGCTGGGGGATACTTCCCTCTCCACTTCGATGCACAGTCTCTTTCAACAGGCGCTGTAGAAACTAAAAGACCACGATACCGCGAGAAAACTACCACGGAGCTGCTTGCCGGGGACGCGCTCCGGTAAGAGTGGGTCACATTCTCGGTGCTGGCGGGGGCTCACGGTGTCGGAGTTCCGAGTCTCTGCTTGCGGCCGGAGCAGTTGTCCTAAAACAGGCAATGAGAAAGTTGGTCTTCAGGCATACGTGATATGTCGTCAGTATGACATTACCGGTCCCAGCAGAAATCAAGACAGTTAGTTATGAGATACTACATTCGAAAAAAAAAAAAGGTCAAGTCAGGCGTTTCAAATAAGCAAAGGGGACGTAAACTAGAACATCAAAAAGCAAAAGAAAATGTTCCCAGGTGGGATTTAACCACTGAATCTCCCCGAGGTGGGCTCGAACCACCAACCTCCAGATTAACAGTCTGACGCGCTAGCCAATTGTGCCATCGGGGATGAGCTCGAATGAGCTGATTGGGATGTTGTTGACGACCCAGCTCGAGTTGGGGCTTAAGAAGGCCACGTGTGATGAAGACCGGCGAGTTTCAAACCCTAGCTGACGCAGTGGCAGGTTTTTGTGAAGCAGTAACAATCGTGATTGGTGGTGCAAAGAAGAATTGACCCACGCTGATGTGTCATTGTGTGGCCCGACCTCAGTCATTGTCTGTGCTGCATGGTGTTAGTTCGTGGGGACCTGGAGGCTTTCACGACTCGGTCAAGCTTCGAACCAAAGCACACCTCTTCTTAGTTGATAAATATTACCAAGCCATCCGTCAGGGAGCAAACATCAACCTGGCAAAGTCGCGGGAAACTCACAATTTCAGGAGAGAAAGGAATTGTTGAGCTGCTCATTCTCATTAGTCGTGTCTCACTTCCCCTGAGCTCGTGCTTATAAGCAGTAAATCTGCCCAAGTGGCGCCTGCTGAGACTGCTCCAGCTGACAGCCAGACTGCGAAAGTGGTGTTGACAGTCCACGAGCACATTTCATGGCTGAAAAGTGGCAGATAACAATGGCCTGTTTCCTCGGATGCAAATCTTTCCTCGCCGTGCGTGACAAAGGCTGGTCGGCACTCAACGCTCAGCCGGTTCAGGCACTAGGAACGGGCGGAAGTGATGGCCCACGGCAAACCGTGGTCCTTGGGCTCCTTCGCGCGGCTTCATCACCTCATCCATTGGACTCATCCGCCGATAGTCTGGAGCTAAGTGTAACACATCACGACGGCAAAGTATGATCCGCGGCTTGGCAGCCAACAACGAGCGCTCCCCGCGCACGGAGATCTGCAACAAGCCTGGCTTTAAGTCAACCATGCACAGCAGCCCTAGGACGTGGATGAAAAGCCCCAAACATGGCTACAGTGTGTGGCGAGGAAAACCATGGTAGTTCAGCTTTTTTATCTTGAAACCGTTTGTTGACATTCAGCCTGGCGATGGGCTGTCGACGGGCAATTATTCCGAAGATTATCGACTCACTGCATTTGATTCCCATTCAGTGTATGGAGATGCTATATACACTTAAGCAATATGAAGACTCGTTTCACGGTCCGCTTGAACATGTCCTCTCCATATCGACACTGCAGTTGGCTTTCTCGCATCTCCCCAAAGGTTCTGGAACATGGACTCCTCGTACTCAAGGTAATCGTTTCCGTGCCATGATTCCCCGGTTTCTGCCGGGCCTCTAACCTTCACCGCACAAAACCTCAACAGCTCCTTGATGCGCCTGGTAAAGGAGTCTCTCCCAATCGTCCTCATCGGTGGAAGCTCGGCGGGTGGCACAGCGCGGTACCAGCTGTCCTTCTCCTGAGACGGCAGACTCAGCAAGAACCCTCCGTTGCGACGATGGCATCCAGTCTTCTCAATCCACTCTAGAATTTCTGGTGCGGAGAACCGCGTCATTCCCAGAATAGTCAGGTTTTTGAGGTTCTCGAAAAGCTCCAGGGCTCTCAAGATCCAAGCAGGCTGTTCTACTCCGCTTTGAACGAAGGAAAGGAATTCAAGATTAGGCTGGCAGCATGCCAGTATTTGAAGCTGTGTATAATACAACGAGAAGGATGTGTGGAGCCTTAAGTCGCGCAGGTCCTTCATGGAGCATACTGCGTCCATGACCAGCTTGCGACATCGGAGATCTCTAGGAGGAGGTCGAGTCGATTCTTCCGCTATAAAGATATGTGTAAGATGATACTGCGTTTTGAGCGCGCGGTAGAAATCGGGATGGTTGCCGGTATGGTACACGTGTAGCCTTTCGAGTTGGAGATGAGGGAGGGCGTCCGCGATGGCAGGGATCAAGTCCGGCAGTCGGAAGAGGTGAAGGCGCTTCAGACTTCTGCAAGACGTGATCCAATTCGCAATATGCCTACGTTTTTCTCTGGCCCACAGCTCATACTTCTCTCGGAGCCGCGAGCTAGGAATAAAGGAGTTGAACTTCAGGGTCAGCGACGTCAGGTTCGTGAGCGGACTTAGCAGAAGCAGATCGGTGGGCGGGATCTCGACTAAGCGGAACTCCAGACACCGTAGTTCTGTCTGCTTAGCGATGGCTCTAAATACGGGGGCATGCACTTCCCCGACTCCGCACTCGAAATAGTGCAGCTGATCTGCATTCAAGTGAGAGAGGAACTCGCCCAGCTGTTGTGAGCCCGCCGTGGAGTCCGCCGTAAAAGGGAATTCCAGATGCTTTAGCCTTGGGAGACTCTTGCTGATTTGTTTCCCGGTTTCAGCGGTCAAGTCCTCGGTCCAAGTCATCGACAAACGCTCCAGCGCGTGACAGGAGAGAATGAAGGAGCCTCTGTCTTTCCAGCGATATATCGAGACTTCTCTCAGCATCGGTTGCCGACCGTTCTCGTTGCTGATTGTGACCAGGTCCTCGAGAAATCGTATTTCGAACTGCTTTATACCATGAGCGTGATAGGGCGGTGTTCTTTTCTCAGTCCATTGTGGGTTCTGATCCGCAAAATGTTCCAAAGACTTCAAATCCATTTCCCAAGCGTAAACTTGCCGAGCGTAATACAAATTGGAGCCGTCGAAACGTCGGACGTATGTGAGATACGGGCGTGAAGTGAGAGGCGGCGTGTTCAGCGGGCTGTCGGTAAACGTCGATGAACGGTAGATAGTTTCCAACATCCCGGTTGAGTAACTGGTTTTGTCTGTCGGGGGAAGAAATGTCAAGCTAGACAACGTGCCCATGGTTCCACGATAAGCCGCGTGTTATGTGATTCAGGTCCGATGCGGACAGACCTACTCATAGAGTCGCCTCAGTGCCAACCAGGCGTTTCCTTTACTTGTGAGGGCACAGTTTGCCAAGGTCCTGTGATACCCAAGGAAAGCAAGTTGGTCAAATAGAGCCTCCCAGATATCGATGTGCACCACCGTCTTTACCGGCGCATTTAAAGTAGGGAAATCGGTCGTTGAAGACATTGCGGCTAGAAGTCTCCCGGGTTTGCTGCAAAACAGCTGGTATATTGGAGTATCCAAATGATGCGATTTTACAGGCGAGATTTGCGACATTTTGGCCATTGCAGACTTGGAATATAAATGAAATTTTGTCTCGTCGTCAGTGATGTGGTGCTGCATCTGTAAGCCTCAGTAGCAGGTGAATTCACGACTTGCTGCAAGTGAATCGAGAACGAATGGGATAAAGAGTGATGTTAGGATCGTGGAGGGTCAAGCAGTACAAGTTTGTGGAGCTGAGATACTCTCCTCTTTGATCTCAGCCGCAAACGACGTCGAAATCAACAGTCGAGTAAAGCAGGTAACGAAAGCACGATTGAACCTACATTTTTTCTGGTCCACACTCGATTCCGAGTTGACGTATAGCTAACAGAATTTGTTTCGTTGTTCCTGCTCCAAGTTTGCTGACCACATAGATCACATTCAGAGAAGGTAGGTAGTTGTCTAAGCCACATTGGTCTACCCTTCTGGAGACCCTAATGTCTCTTTCTGCGAAGATTCTTTTCGCAGAGTCGGAAGGGTGAAAAAGAAAAGTTTTGACAGCGACCCTGATCACCAGAAACCTCTAATCATCCGTGGCCTGTCCACATCTCTCCATAGGAGTTTAAGGCACGCCCCTCTATGGCTTACTGACGGTGCGAAATCTCATCGCTAAGCCTGCGCACGACGGGGAAAGCGTCGTAAGTTGGTACAGTTTCACATTGAAATGTAAATTGACTAATCATGCTTGAATTGATATGCCTCCGAACCACGAACCGGTAGAAGCCAAAATCATCGGTTGGGTATCTTCAAAGCTAAGAACGTCTCCCGCCGAAGTTGCTGGAATGTGCAGAGATATCCAGAAGATCACACGGAAGAAAGACTAGACGACTACAAGCAATCCAGATCAAGAAACCTCCCACCCCTCCAGTTCCCTCTTCCCCCCACCGGCACCCTCGACTCTCTCTCCACCGCCTCCAGCCGCCCAAGCACCTCCCCCATCTCCCCCTGCACCTCTCTCAACCTCTGCAACACCTTTACGCCCTCGCCCGCGCCCTCACTCTTACCCAAAGACGATGAGGCCAACTTCAACTTCCGGCGAATAACCTCCGCCTTGTCCACCTTCTGAAAGGCGTTCACATCGAACCCGATCGCCCTGTACAACGGGCCCGCGAGCTTGCGGCCGTCGTCAACGATACATCCCCGCACGCCGACGTGCCCTCGATCCGCTCGGTCGCGGCCCTGGCGCTCTTGACCAGCGCCGCCAACTTCTGGACGTCGGACTCGATGTCCGCGGCTGCGATGGTAATTGTTTGTTGTTGTGCCGGCTTAGGGGCCGGCGCGGAGCCGAAGTCGTGGCTGAGCTTGCACGCGTGGAACTTACGCGGCGCGGCGACGGTGCCCGAGAGGGCCTTGGTTGCGTAAACTCTGAAGCCGTTCATGTTGGTTTTTTTATTGTAGTTTTTATTGTGATTGTGATTAAAGTTGTTGTAGTAGCCGTTGTAGTAGTTGATATAGTTGTTGTCGCAGTTGTAGTTAGGATAGACTTGCTTGGCAACTCGTGTTGATTAGAAGAAATGGCACTAAGTTTTGCAGGCTTTGCTCACTGATGAAAGGTGTTGTGAAACTTAGAAGAGAAGATATGAAGGTTGGAAATCTCTGCAGCAGCCGTTGCTGAAACCCCCCTTTTATCGTTTTCTGCGAGGATTTGGCAATCAAGGTTCATGGAGCACCTCTCTTGAGCAACGATATTAAGTTTGACCAGGCCGAAGAAAGAATTCTGTACTCGGTGTCTCAGACTGCAAAGAGCAACGGAGGTATTGACTGCGAGACCTGTACGAGGTACTGAAGGACCAACATGAAGAGGTATTCCGAGCCTCTGCTCTGTTAGGCGGTCAAGTCATAGCTAAAATGTGACTGAAGCTGAGACGTGAGCCCAGCGCTGATGAGAGAGTTTTGCCAGAAGTGTAAGAAATGTTTGTGAATATTCAGAATCGCTGTCTCTTAAACCTTCCGGTCCCAAAACCTAACAAAACCTTTCCTCCTCGCTGGGCAGTTATGCCGCTCTCACAGAAAAGCAAGACATGAGTTGTCTGCTCCAAAACCGCCTTTCCTATGATGCTTCCACCCCGTCGTTCGTCTTCTTCGCCTCTGAATATCGTACATGTAGTTTGTCCAAGAAATGCGAGTGTCGGATCCCATTAGGTCTCGCTTGCGCAAACGTGTCGATCGCCTCCTGCACACCTAGTCCGCACCGCTCGACCAGGTAGCATACAATAAAGTAACCCGTGCGGTTAAACCCGTAATGGCAGTGAACACCAATGACCTGATTTTCCCCGTTGACCGCTTCCCATCCTTCCTCCTCGGCTCTCTTCTTCTGCTCTTCCCTCAGCTTGTCCACAAGCGCCACAAAATGCGCAACTTCTCCATCACTGGGCGGAACCTTGGATACCGTGGCGAACTTGTGGTAGCGCACGCCGCCCTTCTCCATGCTTCTAGGGTCGTAGACAGGCTGGTCGTGACTGATGTCAACAACGTCCTTGATAATCTTGCCCCAGTTCTTGACGAACTCGGCAGGGCAGTGTACATCGTCGGCTTCTCGCAACGTCTTCATTGCCCGAAAGACGGCAGGTTTGCCCTTGGGCCCTATCGGGAGCGATACCGGTACGACATTCTTCCACTTGGCTAGGTTCTTCACGTCCCACTTGCCCTCACGCGAGAGGTACTGCAGCTGCCATTTCAGTTCGAAGCGACCGGTGACGTGACAGGCTAGGAAGTCGGAAATGTGATGGGCGAGAACCCGAGCGGTCGAGGGCATGAACAGTAAAGCGTGATTGGCAGGCGCCGGGATGATGATCGACTTGACCACCTTGGTGGGATGTCGAGGCTGAGGCGGAAGGTTTGCAGGAGATGATTCGTCTGGCGTAGAGGGGTCCTCAGTCGTGTCTGCACCTTCATCCAGTCGTCTGTCTCGCTGGAAGTCTTCATCTCGAATGTCGTCGATGCTCTCAAGCACATGATCGGTGACGTTTTGGGAGGTGTTGACTGGCGCAGCAGAGTCGACGACGGTCTCATGGCCATCTTCCGAACCCGTCTCTGGTGACAGCGGTGCCTTGGTTTGAAGATACTCCTCGATCTTGCCGACTTCACCAGGAGGGGTTAGTTTGTCTGCCTCCCCGCCAACAAGGTATACGGGTACGTCAACGCCGGTCCATACGTCCTTTCCGGGCACGCCACCCCTGGCAACGCCATTCTTGAACGTCGGTAAAGACCCCCAAGCCATACGGCGCCATACCGGTGTGCGACTCTGGTTGTTAAACCGGTCTTGCAGCTTGCGCAGCTCGAGGTCTGCTCCCGGTCCGACAAACCGGCTCACGCTGGCACTCTGCGGTCCTCCCCATCGGTCATAGGCCCTCCACAGATCGAAAAGCCAGCCGGGAACCCACAAAAGTTTGCGGAACAGCGCCGTCTTGTCAGCTGGTGGAGGTCCAGAGACGGGGCAAATCGCTACGAGTCCCACGATGTGTGTTCTCAAATCTGTTCGGTGCGTCGTGTTGCGGCTAGCCAGTTGTGCACACATCGTCGTGCCCATGCTATGGCCGATGAGAACCACGTTGCGGTCAGGCTCCTTCTGGCGGTACTCATCGATGATGACTTCCAGCAGCTCGGCCAGTGCTTCCGGACTGTAGGCATCCCATGACGTCTGTGCAAACTTGGAACGCCCACATCCGGGCAGGTCGATGGCCAGACATGATGAGATGTGGACAAGGCTCGTCAGCAGCGGGTGAAATTGCGCCACTGAGCCTCCCAGCCCGTGAATGAAGACGAGCAAGGGGATGGGTGGCTTGGGCAGCTGGTCTGCTTGTTGATGCCGTTTGTAGAATATGCGGATATCAGCATAAGTGTAGCGATCTGTTGTGAATATGCGTATCTCTGAATTCTGTTTTAACAACTCCGGATCCGTGGACTCGGGGTCGTGGGGGTTGGACCACCACCCGCCGCGGGCCTGTTGTTGGTCTCCCATGTTGACCGAGGGTATGTGGGTTGTCGTTCAGACGCGTCTTGACCACCGGCACCGAAAGGGTTGCGAATACAACGGTAAGAAGAGGAAGAATAAGCCTGGTCTGACAAGACAGAAGCCTGAATAAAGCGCGGGTATCTCCAAAATGTAGTGCGCTGCAAGGAAAAAATGGCGATCTTTGTGTGTGTCGTTCCAGGAGGGTATGACAGCCCGACGATCTCTCAACAGTTCGCTACTTTGGGGGAGGGAGGTAAACAAAATGGAGTGAGTGTGGGCGAGATAGACCGAGATAACGATGAGATCTGGTCACACGGAATGTGACTCAAAATCGGGTAGCCGCTGTGAAGTAAGGACCCAGTTCCAGTTTCCTCTTCCGCGGGTATTCCACCGTCGCACCTGCTGTGTGCAACTGGGCGCGAGGCCCAGAGCACTGCAGGGAGGAAAGAGCAAAGGCGGCTTCCTTTTAATCAGACCGCAGGTGAGGTGGGCAAGGTAGCGTCGAGATCTGAGGGGATCGACTGAGACGGAGGCAGGCCAGAACGTGGTCGGGGCAGGCCGTTTCTAAGGTAAGAGATGCGCCACCAGCTGCTCCGTACAAATACCGCTGCGATGGGAAGAAACTGGGGAAAGTAAGAGATAAGATGCTTCTAGGTAGGCAAGAAAAGCGAGCCTCACAGAAGGCACCACTCAGGCGGGCACCGGGCAGCGGGCAGCGAGAGTACTTTCAGTGGGGAGCAAGGCACCAAACTTTTGTCTTTGGGCAATTTATGTCATTGCCCATTCTCAGCCAACAGTTCGTCATGTCTCCTCCACCTGGGCCCGGGGAAACGCTGCCATTGGTTTCCTTGTCTCTGGAATTTTTGGCCAATTGGAGCTTCGCTGCGAATCAGCGCCCGCGCTGGGACCTGGCAAGGCTGATTACGTACGCGATCGAGCGGAAGCTGGGAACTTTGTACATGAGAATTATGTAAATTGTGGTTTTAATATTACACTTTGGTCTATGATATGAGCCATTGCAGAGTCTTTGCGTCTTGTGATCTCTTACCAGTGGTGGCCGGCTTTGTGCAGGAAGGCAGGTGGTGTTACAGCGTTCAGCGAGAACCTTGAGAGCAATCTCGCCTGGAATTTGCATGGCGGGGTAGCAAGGAGCTGTGAGGTTTGTGGACGTGGCCGGCCCCGGGTATCCCACATCATTCAGAAAGCCAGATCTCGATGCTCTATGCAGCCCCCATCTGATGGAGGATCATCGTGAGTATGCCGTCTTGAATGCTTCTTCCCGTCCACGTGCGCACTCTGGCGAGGAGCCTATCCTCAACCCGAGTCAGGGCGGTCCATATGGTCTTCCCATCGTGAGCACGTCACGCAGCGCCCTTGCCCTCGACCCATCCGATGGGAATCAAGGCACCCGCAACTTCATCGACGCCCCTCTCCGTAGCAAGCAGATTGAACTGTGATGCCGCATTTCCCGTGTCAAGCACATCCACGCGGATTCCGAGCGAGCTGAGGTGCTTCTTCGTGGACGGAGCAAGCGGAACGATCTTGGGGCCGACGCCGAGGATGAGAAGATCTGCAAAGAGCCAAGTCAGAATAGTTTATCATAGACATCGTCAGTAGGGGGACGAACCAGGTCGCGGCCAAACCAGCTCCAGCACGCCAAACGCCTCTGGGGGAATCTCGAATTGGCCCTTGGCATTGATCAAGTTCATCGTGCCTTTGGCCTCCCACGGCCGCCACTCGAATGCCTCGCCGCCGATAAGGAGGGCAGCGTTTCCATCCAGAATCTTGAGGCCACTGTTCAGGGAGAAGCCGTCCGACATGCAGACATCGATTGATGTTGACGGAGTCGGCGTGTTGCCCAAGACGTCGAGCTCGCTGAAGTCGGTGCCACCTTCATATTCGTTCGTGCTGTTCTTCTTTGACCTTGGCGGTGCCGTGTGGAATTGACTGCGTAGGCATGCAATTTGCGAAGGAGCTGCTGAGGGTCGTAAAGGCGTCGAGACTCGGGGGAGCGATCGGGGAATCGTGCGCTGGGCGCGCGCGAATGCGCGAAGCACGCGAGTGCTTGCGGAAGAATTCATGAATACGGGCCGGATACTTGTGTCGAATGAGTGAACGAGTGCAGCGGGTAGAGATGAGAAGCTTGCGTCGGGGTGGTTGGAGTTGTTTGACGGAAAAGTTGGGTACAAGCTGGAATTTTTCCCGCAGAGCTACTTCAGTATCTTGAACGTCATGATTACAAGGTTGAGCGACCTACCAAAAAAACCACCAGTCGTGATGGCGGGGAGCCACGTAAAAAAATTATCAGGCCAAAGCACAAGTGTCACACATCATCATATACCGTGGAGTTCAGAGCGCGACGGCGCCAAAAGTTCAATTCGCTGTCATAATTCCGATACTGGGGGGGGGGGGATAAACCACTTTTGTTTTGGGCGCCTCGACTCGATTGAAAACCGCGGGGTCGTCACTCAGAAAGCAACGAAAAATATGAGATCCCACGTTTGAAAACCAAACAAAAAATTTGAAAGGGCTCGATTTCCGTTTTCATTCAGGTATCGAGGCCTAAGAGTGCCCTAACGCACAGCAGCAGACGAACCGTCATCAATCCGCCTGTGGCCGACGATTCTTGTGTATCATGCAGTTCCTTTTGCCCTTATTGAACACCTAAGCAATGAACCAACCCCCTAAAATTTCCCATTCCGGCCAGCTTTGGTTTTTTGACGTGACGCAAGAAAGAATGAGACGTTCATTTCTTCTTCTCGGACTGGCTCTGCTCCTTGAGCACCTTCTTGACGATCTTCTGCTCCTCGATGAGGAAAGCGCGGACGATGCGGTCACGAACGCAGTTGCCGCATCTGGAGCCGCCGTAGGCACGCTGGACGGTCTTCTTGGGCTTGGAGATCTGGGCGTACTCGCGGGGACGGAGGGCGGGGACCTGTAGCGGGACAGTTAGTATTATCCGCGCGTTTGTGTGAAGCCGTGCTGAAGTTCGACATCATGGGAATCCCATCTGAGAGCGCCGCCGACTTCGTTCCTCATGCTCATCCTTGATCCGAGGATGATCGCAAGCCTTTGCTGATGACGGCCACCCCTCGTCCATGTCCTCCCACAAAAGTCCAATGCGCTCCCAGATGATGTTCCCTCGAGTCTCGCTTCGGTCGTGGTGTATGGATCGAACTTACGCCAGGCAGCTTGACGCCGCAGTCACCGCACTTGGGGGCAGTGCCGCGCTTCTTGATGTGAAGGATGCGGAGCTCACCACCGGGGGTCTTGACGATACGAGTCCGGTTGGAGGTGGTGTTGTAGCTGCAAAATTTCCCAAGTCAGTCTCGTCGGTCTTTTCTCGACATGTACAGCGTGCACGCCGATGCGAAAACAGACGCCGTCTCTCGATAAATTCGATCGCGACGTTTCGATTCGGAATGGGAAGAGACTCACCCGTTACGGCGGCGGTAGGTGACACGGGCTCCGGCCATTTTGACTGATTGATGGTGCTGCGGACGTTAGTTGAGCAGAAGTCGTGAATCGCAAGCTGGAGGAAGTTATGATAAAATTGAAAGTTTGTGTGCTCCTGCCAGTTCCACATCAAAAACCCAACCTCATTCTCATTGGTTGCTTAAGCGGAATATGTGGAGCCAACCCCCCATCACGTGCTGGCTGCACTAACAACCTATCCCCAGGTCCACTGCTTCTGATGCCGTCCCGATTGTGAGCGTTAACGGTGGCTCAAGTGCTCTCAGCGACTTTTGACAGTGACTTTTGACTTATACGGGTTTAATCAAGAGACCGTCTTATTTTTTCTGTGTTAGAGTGACTACTTTGCCTGCGGTCGCATATTCTACCTCACCGTCGTCGTCCTTGTCGTCCTCGTCGTCCTCGTCGTCTTTGTCTTTGCTACAGTCGTTATCGTTATCGTCTTCGCTTTCAATGAGAGTAATTAAGTACCAAGGAAAAGCGGTAGCACAGGAAACATACGCGGTCTCTTAATCAACTATCATCCTTTTATGGATTCTAGCACTCATCCGGAAGGAAAACTGAAGGAAAGCAAACGCTGTTTTACGTTGTCAGAGTCTTTATCCAGGACGTCTGATGCCGAGCGCTTCGAAGCAACGCCGCATAAACATAACCCTTTCCCTAGAAATCCCCAACGCCATGTGCAATAATTCAAATCAGGTCATGACGACTCTGGCTCTAATGTTGTCCAGTCCGGGTGTTCAGTTGCGCGCCAGGGCTTGACGCCGTTGGGCTCTTCCCTTCGTCTCTGAGAGGCATGGTTCATGATCTTGGTCATCTCCTCACTCTTTCGAAGATCTTGGAAATCCTGCACCTCCTTTCTGGCCGCCTCCACTGACTTGATGAAACTGGCGAACTTGTCCTTGGCTGGCGGTAAACGTTAGCTGACGAAAGTGGAAAATGCTCATGGCCGTGGATGTGCAGCACATACGAGTTGGTTGATGCGCGGACAAAGGGTCCATCATCCGTGGGATCGTGGTCCGCAAACCTCGCAGCTATGAGAGGGGTCAGTTCGACTGAAGTCGGGCAAGACTGCAGGGAACACCGACCTGGGTGTGCAACAGCTTCAGCTGGTTCAATGACTGCTCTAGGCGTTCTTCATCCCACGCCTCATTGCCAGGCTCGGACTTGATCGCTGGGTTGTTGTTTGCCATGATGATGCGGGTTAAACTGTCGCCCTTGTAGATGGAAACCCTGAAAGGCCGGTTCGGTAATTGTTTCCTCAAGGGGCAGATTGACGTTGACACCGGGACGAATAGATATGTCGAGCGCCGCGGACCGAGGTTGCTTTGAGAGCCTGGTCCAGAGGGTGGATGCAGCGATGAATGTAGGTAAAGATGCAGAGTCGGGCACACTGGCAGTCCGAAAGAGATCCAGGTGTAATGTATGGCGCAAAATTGTTTGCGCGCCGCCTCAAATCCAAAGTGCAAGTGCAAACGTACCACCTTTCATGCAACTGGCCACTTGGGGTCCAAAGCAGGCACTGCGCCGGCAGGCAAGTCAGAGATTTGTTGGTGGTTTAGGTGAGCCAGCTTGGAAGCGTTGGTGTTTCCGATGCGCGGCGCAGTGCGGTGACAGTGAGAGCTCACGACGGGAATTAGCGTAGGGGCCAGAAGCCGCTCCAAGCCAGGGACCGCGGAAAGACGCTGAATGTGGTCACCGGCGACACGTCAATCTGGAAGGTGGTTGGCGCGGGCCACAGATGGCCCCACTTCATGCCCTCTGGTGCAGCGTCAAGGTCGCTGTGCCTAGCATTGAAGGGCGGTACATATTGGGTCACGTGAGCTGCGAGTCCAGCAAGGAGGTAAACAGTCAAAGGAAAAGAGAGAAGCGGTAACAACGGGAGGAAACAAAACAAAAGAGGCCTCAGCTGCAACATCAGTATCGCTCTCGCCCCCATCAACTTCATCAGACCACTGCAGGACACGAAGTGCATCCGAACGAATTGCGCATCTGTCCGGTCGAGGAAAGTGCAGCATCGTCGTACAGAAGCAGCAGGGAACATTGGTACCTAAAAGGTACGCTGCCGCGCCAAGGGGTCCAGGCCTGCAGCTGGGATCCTGGAAGCTGCCACTCGCTAAAAGCTAGCCGGAAGGCGGATTAACTGCGAACCTAGTTCAGACCGTGCGGATTGGAATTCTCTGACTCCAACCTCTCCGTGTTCCTACCTTTCCGTCACGAACCCAGCTACTTGCCAACTGTGGAAAGCTGCATCTGAGCTAAACCAACAAAACCTTGACGCCCGCACTTCGTTTTCACTTCACTTCAGCAGAGCTTCATCATTCCTTTTTCGACGCGTCCTTTTCTCTCCGGACTCGTCGCCAGATACACTTTTCCCCACCTCCCCTTCACATCCGCCAAGCTGGACTCTTCCGCCATCATGTCGAATGCGCCCCCGCCGGCGCTTTTACCTCCGCCCGAGGGTATATTCCGCTCCTTCGAAGATCTTCTGAGCTCTGTCCAGCGCGTCGCCAAAGACCAGGGCTACGGTGTCGTTAAGCTCCGCGCCTCCAACTACCGCGATGGCAAGCCCACCCGCTACGACTTGGTATGCGACCGCGGCGGCGTCAAGTACAGCAGCACTGCAAAGAAGCGCAACCCCTCCACGCGCAAGGTCGACTGTCCCTGGCGCGCCAAGGCCGTCTGCGAAGTTCAACTCGGCAACCAGTGGCGTTTCGCCGTTCAGGAGGGTAGCCACAACCATGAGCCTCGCGTCGCGACCGCTCCTCCCGGCCAGGAAAACACGCCGCTGGCCCAGTCCATGCGGTCCTTTACCAACAAGATCGACCGCATGAGCCACGACATGGCCCAGGGCTTCATGCGGATAGAGCAAGCCCTCGACCAGATGAACAAGCGTTTGGAGAACCTCGAGAACCGCGCCGGAGGATACGAGCCCCGCTTCCAGAACATGGAGTCGCGACTACAAGGTGTGGAGGCCCGTGGCAGCATGGAGCTCCCTATGGATGATGTCGATGCCCGACTTCTGTCAACCTCGGTTATGTAGGAAAACGGCCAAGTCGACATGTCGGGCATGGGAGCTCTGTCGGGCGCGAATGCGCACGGCGGATACGCGACGGACAACCACGCTGGTTTGTCATAGAGCACTCCCATGTTAGTCGACCCGAGGCCATTTACATCGATATCCACGCGTCACACGGAACCAAGACAAGGAAGAAAATGAGTAGACGATTCAGGGTCACATTTCTCTCGAGGATGAGACTTCAGGCAGGGAGCCAGACCCGGGGCTGGATGGGCAGGCATGTCATGTTATCAGGGCGTTGAAGGGAGGCTTGGGCGTTTGGGACTCATTATCATCTGTGTTTTTTCACCTCTTTCCAGCCACAGGACGATATCAGTCCCGGTTTGCTCTGGATTGATGCGTTTCGAGGTCATGTTATTATACGAAAATTTCTTGCGCAAGGCGGGGGCCGGCTTTTTGCGATTTGGCAAAACGAGAGCAGCAGCAGACAATGGGGTTCATTGTAGCAAGAGAGCAGAGGCGTATCATCGGTAGAGCGCGACTGCAATACCAGCCAGTACATGTCCACAGTTCTTTCCCATTGCTTGGTGAATGCGTTGACTCGCGGAAGGTGAGGTGACATTCGAGGCAGCTGAGCCGGGTGCCGAAGCATGACGTAACAGGAGACAGCTTAAACATTGCGATTGCCCTTTCTTTGCGGACCTGGCCGTTGCAACTCTCACCTCAACCGGTCGAACGTCGCTATTCCGCCCAGGATCCAGAGGCATTATCTCGTCATCTGCTCCCAACAACGACCGTGAGACATACGTCCGTCCTGGCTTACACGGATTGCATATCGGAGACCAGTCCGCGGCACAGTATCAACTGACACCCCGGATTCCAACTTCGCACGTCCGCAAGGCGCACACTGTGAAGGAGTTGGCCAGCTTCCCACACACCCGAACAAACCCCTCCATAACAAGCTCCGGTTGGTTTCCTTCTTGGTAAGGTAGCAAACAATGTTCCCAATAGAGACAATGCACGCCGGGTAGAGGAACGCCACGCGCGAGATTAGCAGGCAGGTAGCCTGACCTGATCGCTCGGAAGCCCCTCCGCCCCCGCGCCCTCTCCGGTTTTCTTTTCGGTGCCCTTTCAACGGGTTTATTTCACGACTGGCCACCCCAACTTGCGAAACCCATCCCAGCATCCCAACGGACCCCGGTCCTGCATACTATGGTATCCAAAGCTCCAGACCACGCCCTGTCTGCACCACCACCACCACTTACGCAACCGCGCGCAACCTCTCTGTGTAGGACTCATTTCGGTCTTCAAGCCCGGGCGCGTTGGACAACCCAGGATGTCATGCAGGTTTGTGCGTTCATCCGAAGAATTCGTCGCCTTACCTGCACTTTCCGGTCAACATTTAGAGCCCGAGAACCAGCCAACGTCCCTCGATCGCAGGCGCAGCAGTCACATTGCACGGCGTGATGCGTGACAGCCTATCAACAGCTGGGAACCCGCCCTTCGAATTTGAGGGTTTTCGGCGACAATGCATCGCTCGTAAGGGCGCCTGCATCAACTCTACCCGCCGAGCCCAGTCCCAGCCGGCTCAGACTGATGGACAGCGGAAAACTCCTACCAACCAGCTCCGACGGGCATGTCTCGAATATCCAAACGAGACCTCGTCATGTTTGCCTGCCCGCCTTTGCTGTCCTTATTCAGATCACTCGCTTTTCCCGGTTATTACGAATCCATCGGGTCGGTAACCAGTGAGGACAAAGCCGTTGGCTGCTTCGTCCTGTTTTCCCCATGCACATGATCAAAGCGCACATTCGGGGACCATCAGGGATGGTCGGGGCTCGCTAACTGGCTTACATCACGGCAATGAGACGTGTGTATCTCGGCCACTGTCGGACCCGGCGACTCGGGGTCGTGGTGGAGCACCATGTCACGAGCAGGCAGCTGGATTCACCAACACGTTTGCCCCCTCCTGGTCCCGAGACATGCATTGTCGTCGTCGATGCCGTCGTCTGCAAGGATGTGGGTGGGTTGCGAGCGGCCCTCGAACTTCATCGAACAGAGAACGCATCCCGCCGAGGCGGCGGCGGTGCCCGGGGCCGGTTTGTCACAGGTGATTGACAGCGGAAAACCCGAGCCTTATTTCCCCCCAACGTAACCGGCCGTAAGAATCTAACCAACCGCTCAGAGGGATTGTCTCTATAAATCCCAAAAAGGGCATTGCTCTCCCCATCCCCCTCACCTCCTGCAATGACCTTCTGGTTCAGTCACACACCAGCAGGAATACTCAGCTCGAAAGCAACCCATTCTGCAAGCGACGTTTACCGCCGACAAATGTCCGTCTAGGCCTTCCAATAAGGACACTTGAAAGGTTCGCAGTCGGAAGGCAGCAGCCTCTGCTCACCTCTAGAATCGTTATTTCGATGCACATCCATGGAACGATTCCTTGTTCACAATTTGCTACTTATCGTGGAAGCCGCCTAGAAGCATGCGGCCCCAAAGGATCCAAGCTTCTAGCATGTTTGCCTGCTCGACCAGGGGTTCCTCCCGCGTCGGGCAGCAAACACTGTTTCCTCTTTTCCCATCCCTCCCTCTTCGTCGATCCCTTCAGCCATCAGGTAGCTGCACACCCAAGGTGGTATCTATCTCGCGTCTAGCCCTCGCCTGTCGAGCTGGGCGTGCGCAAACCGCGAGGCACAAGTCAGGCAAGCAAGCCCCTGTACAACGACCGTCGCCTGCGCATCCAACGAAATCGGGAGAATCCTAGCCCGTCACATCACATCGCTTTGTGAAGGTCGATACGCGAGGCCCCCCGCGGTACCCAACTATACAAGCAGGGGCTGCACAAGGGCCGAAGGATGAAGCGCATGAAGAGCCAACGCCAAGGTTTGTTCCCGTTTCTATGAGGCTGAATGCGGGAAAAGTGCGGGAAAGGCATGGGCCTCAGGTGAGGCAAGTCAAAACGGCAATTGCACATGGGCCAACTCGCAAATCTGGGGGCGGACGAGTCGAAATATGCGTCTTTTGTCTCTGGCATATCTCCCCTCCGACACGGGATGTGTTCGAAGAATGACCTTTAGAACTTGGTAAACGGCAGCTTGCACTCTTTTTACTTCTTACCGCCCCGGTAAAACATGACCTGCCAACTATGCACCTCGGGCTTTGCACCCAACGCGA